GCCGCCGGCACTCCAAGGCCATCCGCCACCACACCCAGCCCACTCTCACCAGACCCTGCAAGCCCAGCCGGGGGAGCTCTCACCAGGGGCCCCGGGGCCCCAGCCAGCCGAGGACACCACAGGCGGGGCCCCCAAGCTCCAACCTCCTCTACCTCCAGATCCCCCAGAGCGAAACAAGTGCCCAAGCCTGAACTGGGGCAAGGAGGAGTCTGGGATGTGGGAACCCTTGCCTCTGTCCTCCCTGGACCCGGCCCCCAGCAAAAACCCCAGCTCGCCAGAGCGGAAGGCCACCTTCCCGGAGCAGGAACTGCAGCAGCTGGAAATAGGTACGGCCTCTGGGTCCCAGGCTTCCTCCCCTTTCCAGCCCCTTCCCCATGGATCGGCCCCTGCAGTCTGTGCAGGAAGACCCCTGGCCGCACAGCCGGGCCCCTCCCAGTCTTTCACAGCCTCCTTCTGCTTCGTTTTGCAGAATTATTTCTGAACAGCCTGTCCCAGCCATTTTCTCTGGAGGAACAGGAGCAGATCCTCTCGTGCCTCAGCGTCGACAGCCTCTCCCTGTCAGATGACAGCGAAAAGGTGAGTCGGCCGTGAACCGGGCACCAGGGCACAGAGTAGGTGTCCAGCTGGTGAATGGGCTGTGTGCGAGTAGTGGGTAAAGAAAGGGAGAGGGATGGGGTCAACCCTTCCTGCTGGGAGGGGTCTTCACTGGAGCAGGGGGCCTTGGTTTCTCAGAGTGAGACACTCCATCTCCAGCCAGCACTGCCGGACATTAGGGAATGGTTTGGCCACTGGGGACGGTGGGGAAGGCGGCTTGGGTCTTGGTCCCCATAGAAAAAGTCCTCACCCTCTTCCAGCTCAGGGGCCCCTCATGACCTCAGCCTCCTACTGAGCCCCAAAAGTGCCCAGTGGAGCCATACACCAACCTAGAACAAGAGCAGTTCCTCACTGCAGGGGCGGGCCCGGGTCCCCTTTGCCCCAAGCAGACCAAGGCCAGAGATGGTTCCCTGAGCCCAGCACCCTGAGTCTGTGCCCCCCCCCCTTGTTGTTTCAGAACCCGTCAAAGGCCTCTCAGAGCTCGCGGGACACCCTGAGTTCCGGCGTGCACTCGTGGGGCAGCCAGGCCGAGGCTCGCAGCTCCAGCTGGAACATGGTGCTGGCCCGGGGGCGGCCCACGGACACGCCAAGCTATTTCAATGGTACAGCACCCACCTGCTCAGCAGCCCCCAGCACCTGACCCACCTGGGACTAGGGAGCCTGAGGGCTTTGTCTCCCTTCCTCTGGCTCATGGCGAAGGGAGAGGAAGGCTCCTGGCACCCAGAACTTGAAGTACTTGGCCATTAAGTCAGTTTAGAGCAAAGGCCCTGCTTGCCCTTTCCTGCTGGGGCAGAGGGACTGTTGCCCCTGGTGGGCTGTGGATAGAGCTCGGAAGTCAAGAGTCAAGAGCCTTGGCCTAGAATCAAGAAACTGAGCAATGAATGTCTCTGAACAAGGTTGCTGGGATCCTCCACTGGGATCTGAAGTCAGAATTGCAGAGAGAAATTATAGAACTTAATTTTCAGGCTTGGTTGCATAAGTTATGTTATGATTTCAGTACAACAAGGGTTTCATCAGCTCACAGTCCGGGGCCCTCGCCAGGGCCAGTGTGACTCATGGTTATCAAGCCTGCACCGCCTGGCCAGAGGCCTCTTCAGCTCAGGGAACAGTACAATCTAAGATGCCTGCAGTCTAACTTAGGGATCTTTGTTTCCAGTTCCTTTCTGCTTTGTGTGCGCACTGGAGTACTACTTCCCCATGGAAGCCACCCTTAGCTCTTTGCTCTGTGCAGGGCAAACTCTGGTATTGACAGAAAATGGCCTAGCAAGTGTATAACCTTAGGGCCACTCCGGACTAAATATCATCCTACGCAGCTTCCTCATAGCCAGCTTCCCTCTGCCTAGGGCTCCTCAGGGAGCCAGCAGTCACTTTCCTGACGGTCACCTTGCTTGCATTCTAGGTGTGAAAGTCCAAATACAGTCTCTCAATGGTGAACACCTGCACATCCGGGAGTTCCACCGGGTCAAGGTGGGAGACATTGCGACTGGCATCAGCAGCCAGGTAAGGGGCAGGTACACGCTCAGGGGCAGAGGAAGGCTTCTGAATGAGCAGAAATGGCCTGTAGAGAATAGTTGGCCTTGGATGTCCCCCAGGGTCTCGGGGCAAGGCCGGCAGTGGTGCCTTCGGGGTTCTCAGGGCCCGCACTTGGACCAGGTGAAAGGCAGGTGGTGCCCTCAGGAGCACTGCTTGGCTGGAGGGAGGGAGCTCCCAGGGCTGGGGGAGAGGAGACGGGCAGATTTATACTCTAGGTAGCTTCTGAGGCCCAGGCAAGTGTCTCAGGCCCACTGCTTTGCTCTGCCCCAGATCCCAGCCGCAGCCTTCAGCTTGGTGACCAAGGATGGGCAGCCTGTGCGCTACGACATGGAGGTGCCAGACTCGGGCATCGACCTGCAGTGTACCCTGGCCCCAGATGGCAGCTTCGCCTGGAGTTGGAGGGTCAAGCATGGCCAGCTGGAGAACAGGCCCTAACCCAGCCTCCGCCACCGGCTCCACTCAGCCAGAGGAGCCTTCCTTCTCGGCGCTCGATGCTGCCGCTGAGCCAGGCTCAGGCTGCTCCCAGGGATCTCAGCAGTGGGACCAGGGCAAAGGGGGCGCCAGCAAAATGCCTCCTAGGATTTCCCACTTGCATCCTGCCTGACCCACCGAGAGAACACCCTGTGCCCACGTGAGAAGGAGAAAGAAGTCAAGAGGCCTCTTCCCGCAGGGAACAGAGAGGGCCTTCTCTGACCTGGTTCAAACGAGCTGGCCTGGCCCTCTGGATCAGTGACCACTTGTCAGGGGAGAGCAGTTTGGGGCCCGTGAGGGACCGGCTGGTGGGTGAGCCTCTCAGCCTCTACGCAGGTCTGAGGGTGTCAAGTGCCTAAAGACCCATACCCAGGTCCAGCACAGCGCCAGGCGGCAGGTGTGCCCAGCCTTGGGTAAACAGGGCCTTCCGACCCCCTTGCCTGGCCTGGCCACTCTTCAGACAGAAAGGGAGGGAGGAAGGCCTGACTAGGAAGTCTCCCTGGGAGAATGCACCACGTTCTTCAGGGTATTGCAATGCAGGTCCTGTGCTAAACGCAGTTTCAGCCAAGGACCAAAGAAGGTGTTTCAGTGATGTGGTTCTCAGTCCGCACGTTCGTGCCCCTTGGCTGCTGGCCACGCCTTCCCCAGAGCAGCAGGCCCAGCGCTGCCCTGACTAGCTGGCACTCGGTCCCCTCGTCCGTAAAGGTGAAGGGTGACGGCATGAGACCTCCCTGACAGGAAGTGCCTGGGGATAAGGATGAAAGATGGAAAAGAAAGCAGCAGATGTAGGCGCTACTGTTACCCGAGCCACGGCTTCCAACATCTTGCACACCAGCTTCCCGAGACGCAGCTCAGGCATCATGCCCACACTGACCCTGCCCTGCCCCAGGTTACGGGGGCACTGCCAGCTGCACTTTGCACTCTGATGACCTCAAAGCACTTTCACGGCTGCCCTCCAGGAGGGCAGGTCACTAGCACAAGCAGACTAGGAGATGGGGTGAAGGGACTCAAGTCTTGACCTGTCTCCACACATGTGATCCCTTCAAACCTCCAGATTTAAGATGAGCCCCCCCAGTTCCTCTTCATTGCCCAGTCCAGCCTTTTCAGGGGGGGAGCTGATCAGGACTCATGTAGCATTAATCAACTGTGAATCACTGGGAGCTGAGGGGCCTGCTACTCTCAGCCCCTGGGGATGAGGGGGTATCTATCCCCTGAGATTCCTCCTTCGGAATCTTGTCCCCAAGTCTTGCCAAGGTGCCCTCTGTCCAGCTGTCTACAAGGAGCCATCCTGCTCCCCAGGGAGAGACCCCGGCCCCCAGTACATGAAGAACTGCAGGGTTTGAGTTGCAGGGAACTCTGTGAGCAATAAAGTTTGGAGTAATGACACGTATTCAGACCTTGGCTCTCTCCACTCTCTCGCCTGCTTGCAAAGACTCAGATCCTAACAGCTGCTTCCCTTTGCCTTCATGGTGGGATCTTGTCAAGTCTGCCCTATGTTTGGGGCAAGGACGGTTTTCAACCTTTGAGTGGGGCTGCCTTTCCCACCACTCCCAGTGGGTGCTTCCAGTACCCCCTCTGAGCTACCCATCAGACCAGTTTGGCAAGATGCCCCACCGGTGGCAGCAGGGAAGTCCCTGCCAAACACTGCCAGGCCGAAGGGAGGAGGACAGCGAAGAAGAGAAGGCCCGGGCACTGACCAGGCATGGATAGTGGGGCATCCTGCAGGCCCAGAACAAAGGCTGCCCCACCCACTGCTCCTGTCCTGAGGCCAGGCTCCAGGGAACTTAGTGGAGAGGGAGAGGAGAGCCTGGACTCCCAGCCCTCCAGCCACCTCCTGAGACCTGCCTGTGATCAGGGGTGACTTCTCAGAGTGGGACCTTGGTCATGGGACAGGGGCCTGCCTGAGGGTGATGCCACCAGCACACAGGGTGTCTTGTCTCATCTGGTTCCACACCCCCTGAAGCTGTGCACGAGTGAGTGTGTGTGTGTGTGTGTGTGTGTGCGCGCACACACGCGCAGGGACATACCCGCCCACCTTGGGGTAAAGGTCGAAGGTTCCATGGGTTCTTGGAGGGCTCCTGGGTACACAGAGGGCAGCGGCCTTGGGCCAGAACAGGTGCAAAGGCCAGTCGGGGAGACCCCAGGCGTACCCCTGCCCAGCCCTCTCTGCCCTGGGCCTGCTGCGAGGAGCAGAGCTGCCTGGTCTCCAGGAGCTGCCTGGTCCCCAGACGGGGCTCTGAGGCCGAACGAGCAGGTGGGGCCTGCTCCGGAGTCCGCCCCTTCAGGCCGCTCCTACCCACGCGCCGGAAACCCACGCGCCGGAAATCCTGAGCGCAGTTCCCTGCCCACGGGACTCGCCGGGACGTCACAGAGGCAGCGACATCACAGGCACCGGCGCCCACAGCATCTCCACCGCCCCCGCCAAAGAGCACAGTGGAGGCGGAGGGGCAGCAGCCACCATCCCTCCCCGCCTCCCCCAGAGCCTCCCTGGTCGCCAACTCGGTCTGCATGGGGATGACAGGTGGGAGCGGGCGGGCGGCGGGGTGGGCGGGTGCGCAGGGACTGCTCGCGTGGAGAGGGCGGGGAAAGTGGAAGTGGGGGGCAGGGTCTTGGCCCCGCGCTCCCGCCCCTGCTCCTCAAGGCGGGCGAGGGGGGTGTGCACAGTGGAAAGGGCGATTCCAGCCAAAGCCCTGGCCATCCTCGGGGGGAGGGGCGGGGCGGGGGGTGCGGGGGCGGCCCAACTCCGAGGCCTCGGCCCTGTGCGGTGCAGTCGCCCGCGTGTGCACGGGCAGCAGGTACACCTTGGGATTAAGGCCGCACATTCGGAGGGTTCTTGCCCGGAGGTTCTAGGAACAGTAGCCTTGTGCCCAGAAAACGACTCTTGAATTATCCAAACCGCAGACAACCGCTCAAATCGTGGTTGGTTGCCCCTGACCGGTGCTCGGAACTTCTGCAGGAAGAAGCAGCCGCCACGACTGTTTCATGAGCACCTCCTTTGTGCTTTGCACTCTTCTCTGCGCCAAGGAGCAAAGATGCTTGCCCTCCGGGCCCTGGGTCTCCCCAGTTTCTGGTCATGGGGGCTCAGGCCCCCACTGGAGTGAGGGCTTTTCCCTCCGGACCTTCTCTCCCTGGAAAACATACCCGGGCCAGCATTTTAAGATGCACCCAAAACCAATGCATAAATAAATCATAAACTGTGCCAACAACCAACAACCAGAGAGCAGCTTATCCCCTTTCCCAATTTGTGGGGTAACAAATTTATGCAGACATTTTAAGTCACTCCTACAACATTTATTACACCCCCTCCAGGGGCTATTCTTATGCTAAGTAGGCCTGGGTCTGATGCGTTGACTAAAAGTAAAATGGAGGTCAGCAAAAGCCCCCCTCTGGGCCACCTCCAGCTCTGGGTCTAAGGAGAGCCATGGACAGGCTGCAGCACCTCCTCATCTGCGGCACCTGACCCTTCCCAGTACCCGGGATACCAAGGCCGCTGCGAAGGGCAAGGGACAGTCCAGGGCTGAGCCCCAACTGAGCCGAGGGCTCATACACGCTCTTCAGACTCCTGGCCCGCCCCACCTGAAGAAATGAGAGGTGGGTTGGCCCCAAGTAAAAGCACAGTGTATGTGTCCAACTTGCCGTCTTCCCTGACCAACAGTTGACACACCGGATATTTTCCAAGTGTGGCAAAAATTGTACAGGTTACTATAATGAAAGTTAAAGACACCAGGAAGAGTAAAGGCATTGCATTTACTTTATTTTTTGATAAAGACTCTGCACATGCCATGGCCGGTTTGGCTCAGTGGATAGAGCGTCGGCCTGCGGACTGGAGGGTCCCGGGTTCGATTCCAGTCAGGGGCATGTACCTGGGTTGCGGGCACATCCCCAGTGGGAGGTGTGCAGGAGGCAGCTGATCGATGTTTCTCTCTCATCGATGTTTCTGACTCTCTATCTCTCTCCCTTCCTCTCTGTAAAATCAATAAAATATATTTAAAAAAAAAAAAAAGACTGCACAAAACCATACCAGGACAATGAACAACAAAGTTGTTTGGTAGTGATAAAGCAAGCATTGCTACTGATAACGGAAGAGCCGCTGAGTTCGTCCGAAAACAAAACTACTTGATAGTGAATCTAAGTGTTATGAATGTGGGTGAAGAAGTGGAAGAAAGTGGAGTGAAGGGAAAATCCTGCTCTTGACAGCCTCAGTAATTCTATCAAACATAAAGAAGAAATAATGCCAATTTTACACAAACTCAGAAAATTGGAGAGGGAATACTTCTCAACTCATTCTCTGAGGCCAGTATTACTCTACTATCAAAACCTGACAAAGACATTACAAGAAAAGAAAATTACACACTAGTACACCTCATGAACATATATGTGAAAATTCTAAAAAAGAAAAATAGCAAATCAGATTCAACAGTGTACAAAAAGATAATACATCGTGACGAAATGAGGTTTATTCCAGGAATGCAAGATTAATTTTTAAGCCAAAACCGGTTTGACTCAGTGGATAGAGCGTCGGCCTGCGGACTGAAGGGTCCCGGGTTCGATTCCGGTCAAGGGCATGTACCTGGGTTGCGGGCACATCCCCAGTAGGAGATGTGCAGGAGGCAGCTGGTCGATGTTTCTCTCTCATCGATGTTTCTAACTCTCTATCTCTCTCCCTTCCTCTCTGTAAAAAATCAATAAAATATATTTTTTTAAAAAAAGATTGTATTTCACCATAAAATGAATTATTAACAAAAAATATATAACAGTATTCATGTTAACATATAGCATGCTATGTTAACAATATGTTAACTGATTATAAAAGAAAAACTATATGATCATCTCAATAATTTTAAAAAAGCATCAGACAAAATCCCACATCCCTTCCTAACTAAAAACTAAGTAAACCAGGAATAGAAGGTAACATTGTCAACCCGATAAAAGGCATCTATAAGAAAAACTACAGCCAGCCTGGCCAGCGTGGCCCAGTGACTAGAGTGTCGGCCTGTGGACTGAAGGGTCCCAAGTTTGATCCCAGTCAAGGGCACATGCCTGGGTTGCAGGCTCAATCCCCAGTGTGGGGCATGCAGGAGGCAGCCAATCAATGATTCTCTCTCATCATTGAGTTTCTATCTCTCTCTCCCTTCTCCTTCCTCTCTGAAATCAATAAAAATATATTTTTTAAAAAAGAAAGAAAAATTACAGCCAACATCATATTTAGCGGTGATATGCTGAATGCTTTCTCCCTAAGCTCAGGAACAAAGCAAGGATGTCCACTCGCCACTTTATTCAACATTGTATTGGAGATTGTTCTCAGTGCGACAAGGCAAGAAAAGGAAATAAAGAGACACCTAGATTGGAAAGGAAGAAGTAAGACTGTCTTGAGTCACACACATTATTGTTTATGTAGAAAACCTATGAATCTATTACAAAATAAAACTAGAACTTATAGGATTTTAGGACAGTTGCAAGATCAGTACATTTCTATTTACTAGCAATCGACAGTTAGAAATTGAAATTATTTCGCATCTACAGAATGTCACAGAAGTCCCAAGTTGAGTCAAGCTCAGACTTTTGTTTCCAATCGCCAGTGCTGCTATGAGGTCCACACCATAATCACTTTTCCTCCTGTCCACATCCAGTTGCCGTTCATGGGAAGATTAAGACTGCAGGATGTTGATTCAATAGCCAGGGAAACTCTGTAAACAAGCAAGGAAGGCTGTGAGGTCAGAGGCCCGGGAGGAGCAGCAAGCACCTTGGGCAGGTGAAGTTGAAGATGATGAGAGAGATGGGGAGGAAGCCAAGGGAGCGTGAAGGGTTCTGAAGAGACCACTTATCCTGTCCATGGTGGTGCAGACTTCTAGCCCAGTTGGTCCAGGATCCCACGGCCCTGGCTGAACACAGAAGTGCCCAAATCCCAGTCCCAGGACCAGCCAGCAAGGACCCTCCTCAGCCTCTACATCTCTAGGAAGAGGCCACCGCACATTCTGATCCTTTTGATATAACCCTGGGAGCAGTTCTCAACCAGAGCCAGGGTTGTCACTTCCTGCCACACTCCAGGCTCATGGGAACCCAGCTTGCCCATTGCCATGATGACCTCACCATCAACCCCTATCCACTACCCTGGGGATCTAGGAATGGGACAGCCTCCCACCCCCAAAGACTGAAAAAAAGCTTTTGCAGTAAAAGACACAAATCTCCAGGGAGGGATCTAATGTGCCAAAAACCTGAGTGGGAAGACCTCCCCCAAGGAGTCTCTGTGTCGGGTTATCAGAGCTCCTAAATGACCAGGTCCGTGGCAGCATCACCTGGGTTGAGAACCTGGGCCCAGAGTTGGGGGTGGACGACCCCAGGATGTGATGGGGTGAGGAGCCAGGGAAAGAGAGGATGGACTTGGGGATAGGAGGACGGGTAGGCTGAGTGGCAGATCTGAAGCCTGGCCAGAAGAGAGTGGAGAAAAGGACAGAGGGACAGGAATGCAGGGAGATGAGGACGGTTCATGTGGACATGACGGGGAACCCCACACAGCTCCAGGCTCCTGGGTAGGACAGCATGCAGGACAGGGCACTTGAGTTTCCTGAGTCCAATCTGCATTCTTGTGCTGACTTCCTGAATGATCAGCCGAAGGACCTTGGGCAAATGAACCTCTTTTTTGTTGAATCAACGAGATAAAGCACAGAAAGTGCTCAACATAATGCCTGGGTTAGAAGTTCTCAATAAATGGAACTGAGTGCCGTTAGCATTCACCCTTACGGAGGGCCAGCATGGGCCAGCATGGAAAGGGGAGGGGAGCAGACATGAAGGATAGGTCTTCATGTCTGCTGACACTGGCTAGGAAGAGGGAGGAAACAAGGGTTAAGATGGGAGAGGGAATGGCAAATGGGTTAAGGTGAGGAACGGAGAGAGATGGAGAGGATGGCTGAAGCATCACCAACAGCCCCTGCTCCAGAACCCCTCACCTCCTCCTTTCTGCCAGGTGCCGATGGATTTCCCTGCTGTAGCAAGGATTCGGTGGACATAGTGGAAACACAGTGAGAACCAGTCCCCCATCATCGGAGGACTTCCCCCACCTTCCAAGACCACCAACCCTTACCCCCACTTGCCACCACTGCCAAGTTTTCATGTACCCCCCCAACCCAGCATCTCCCTCCATCTATTTTCAAAATCTCCCCAAGGATAGTATCCAGGCCAAAAGGCCATGGTGGGGCGAGGGCCGGGGGGTATGGGTAGCACCCCTTCCTGCTTCTGTCTCCAGTCTCTGATCTTGGAGGACTAAGGGGCAGTGGGGCATACCCAAGGACGTGGAGGGGACCTGACCCCTTAGATCCACCTTGCTCTAAGGACAGAGCTGTCCGAGTTGGGGTTGGGCAGGTTCCTAAGGAAGGAGAGGGGGTCACATGGCTGAGCACTGAAGGCAAGGGGCCAAGATGGCAGCACATGGCCAACAAAACTGAGGGAACCCTGCGCGCACACACACCTCTGCTCTTCACATCTGCTGAGCTGGGACTGAGCAGGTTGGGGAAAGGCAGTGCCCTGGGCTTTTCCTTCTATGAGGAGCCACTTCCTGGGCACTGGTTCTCCAAGTGAGCCGCCTCAGCTGACAGATGCTTGATTAGAATGCAGATTCCTGGGCCTCGCCTCCAACCAGTTGGATCCCTCCTTGTGGGGGGCCGGGGGGACAACTTGGCAAGCTCTCCAGGCACTTTCTAAACTCACTAAAGTTTGAGACTACAACTCCAGAATTCTTGGTGGGAGTAGGGACAGCCAAGGGAGTGGATAGCTGGGGACATCTTGCCAGCCCCTGTATAAAGCTCCCCTCCCCCCTAAAGCCATCCCACCAACCCCGTGGAGCCCTGTCACCCACTCTGTCTCCTTCTGTCTTAGGATTGACTTAAACCAACATGAGCTCCAGCCTGCACACGAGGAGCTCCAGCCTGCACAAGAGGAGCCCCAGCCTGCACAAGAGGAGCCCCAGCCTGCACAAGAAGAGCCCCAGCCTGCACAAGAGGAGCTCCAGCCTGCACAAGAGGAGCCCCAGCCTGCACAAGAGGAGCCCCAGCCTGCACAAGAGGAACTCCAGCCTGCACAAGAGGAGCTCCAGCCTGCACAAGAGGAGCTCCAGCCTGCACAAGAGGAGCCCCAGCCTGCACAAGAGGAGCTCCAGCCTGCACAAGAGGAGCCTCAGCCTGCACAAGAGGAGCCCCAGCCTGCACAAGAGGAGCCCCAGCCTGCACAAGAGGAAGATGAGGAAGAGGTAACAGTGGGCAGGGTCACCTCTTCTGAAGAGGTGGTAGACAAAGCCCATCTTCCCTAAATTCTAACCAGCCCCTAGCCTTGACAATTCTGGGACCCTAGGACCAAACCGATATTGACCTGCTCACACCACCTCCCTGCCCCAGAGGTCTCTGCAAAGAGGCAGGTGTGGGGAGGAAGTGTGCAGTGTGTGTGTGTGTGTGTGTGTGTGTGTGTGTGTGTGTCCATGAGGGTTGGGGTCGGGGGAGCAGGGCAGGGAATTGGTGCAAGGGAGGACCCGAGGGGCAGGGCCTCCTCAGCTTTCAGTTGAAACTTTTCAGGTGGATCAATTGCTACACTTGAACGTCCCACCTAAAGAGGACCTGGAACAAGACAAAAAACCGGTGCAGGAGGCCAAGGCCGTGCCGTTGGAGTATTGCCCGCCATTGGAGTTTTGCCCGGCGTCCATGCTTAAGCCTGAGGCCAAGAAGGACTCCAGCTTGAAGGTCGGCAATGAAGACCTGGAATCCTTCCGGCCCCTCGAGGGGGCGCTAACGCAGCAGGACACCCAACAGTGGAATGTGAGGTCGAGCTCCATCACAAGCCCGAGTATCACGGACGAGGAACAAGTGGACTCCACCCATCGCTCCATCTTTGTGCAGACTTCCAAGCACCTCTTCTGGGCAGACAAAGATGTCCAGGCCTCAGAATACAGCCTGGATTTGGAGACCGGCATGCAGCGTGGCGAGAGCACAGAGAAGATCGCCAGCCCCCCGAACCAGAAGGCAGTCCCAGAGCCGAACCAGAAGGCAGTCCCAGAGCCGAACCAGAAGGCAGTCCCAGAGCCGGTCCCCGTAAAGCAGTTCCAGGACGAAAGCACCCAGGCAGAGCTTCCAGAACCAGGCACCCGGCAGCCGTCAGACACCGACGTGCCCTCCCCCTATCTCACACCAGCTATCAACCTACAAGATCTGGTCAACTTCGCATCCTCCCTGGCCATCGCCTCCTCCAGCAACAGGGACCTGCCCAATTTGGAGCAAATGATGAAATCTCCACCCCAGAAGGCCGTGGAGCCTTCTACAGTGCCCACGGTGGAGAGCACCACCCCGCCTGCCAAGGAGGAGCCAGAGCAGGAAAAGCTCCCTGAGGTGCAGGAGAGGGCATCCGAGAAGTCGCTGGAAGCCGGAGAGCCACTGGAACCTGCCAAGCAGGAAGACAAGACCCTGCACCCTTACTTTGACTTTAGCAAGCCGGAGCCCCAAAGGACCGCCTTTAAAGGGAAAGTCAAGTTTATCCGGGCCCCGGCCAGGTCCTCTTCACTGAATGGAGACAGGAAAGAGTAAGTGAGGCTGGCGCAGCTCCCCGCAAGGGCCGGCTGCTCGAGGATGTGTGGGTGGGCCCGCTCCTCACAGTTTCGGGAGGACAGGGACCAGTGGAATGGGGGGCTGGGTGGAGGAAGGGGTGGGTGCAATGCCAAGGCCAGGGCTGGAGGAGGCCCGGGAACCTTGGAGACTGAGCACTCCAGGGCTCGCCAGGGACCTGGGTTCTAAATGGGAAGAGCCATTCTAGCATTAGGAAGCCTCTCACCCTGCGGGCCGATGACCTGTCCCTCATCAGAAATGCTCAGGCTAATGTCTCCATGCCAAGAACCTGACGGCTCCAGCCCTGGGCCCAGGACACTTCCATCGAGTGGCCAGTGCGGGAAAAGGGTCCTGCAGCACCCCTTGCTTCTAGTGATGCGTGGACACAGTACAATGTCAGCTGCCCATCCGCGTGCAGCAGGAGTAGGTCCTCTTGCCCCAGGGCCCTCCTCGGAGCGGCCTCTGGGCTCATCCCTCTCCCTTGACCCTCCCACTGGAGCCCAAGTGACACCCTCTCTTTTGCATTGCAGCTCAGTGCCGGGAACCAAGAAAGAGACTCCATTAATGCTGAAAATCCATTTTAAGCTGTTGCCCACTTCTTCCCCCAGAGAAATGACTAAACGAAACCAATAAAGCCTCCAGTGCTGGCCCCAGCTCAGACTTTTTCTGCAGAAGCTCCGGAACCAGTGAACTCACCTGGCTGCGAAGTCCTTGTCTCGATTTTTGAGGGATGCCACCACCATTTTTTAACTACCCCAGAGAGGAGCAGGCCTGTGGTGAGGGAGAGAGTGCACCCCTGCCAAAAGATGTTAAAATCCACCCCAAAGCCATCCTGGGAGCTTCGGGCCTGGGGCGCTAGACCAGCCTAGAGCCTGTGATTCTGCCTTTCTGGCAGCAGAGGGCAGAAGACCAAGAGACCCCCGTGGGCACAGAGAACATACAGGTGACCAGGGCTAGGACAGGGTCCACTGCTCCTCCAAGCTACTGTCCCGAGCCCCCTGGTTAGAGGACTGCGAGTGCACATGGCTGGTATGGGGTTTCCTGGGAGAAGGCGGAGCTGTGTGCCCACAGGCCTGGTCCTGGGTCCCCTGGAGTCTCAGCATCCAATGGGGAGTGTCTTCCTCCCACCTCCAAGGCCTCCACAGAAGACTGTTCACACGAGACCTGGAAGGGGAGGCTGCAGCGACACACTGCCTTGCTGACCCAGACGGAGCCAGCAGCAACCTTGGCCACAGGGGCAGAGCAGGCCTCACACGGGGCCAAAGAGTTCAAGGGCCTTCAGCTACCCGTTTCGTAGCGTCGTCAGGCCCAGGTGCTGGGTCTCAGAGGTGAGGGCTGGGAGTGGGGTGCCGGGTTTGGGATAAGCCTGCCCTGCCCTGTCACCTCTGCAGCAGGTGCAGAGGACTTTCAACCTCTTTCCCTGAGGCAGCTTTGCAGACAAGGACCTGCTACTACAGTGGGGCCTTGACTTACGAGTGTCCCGACTAACGATTTTTTCAAGATACGAGTCGTCTCTCAGCCAATTTTTTGCTTTGAGTTGTGAGCTAAAATTCGGGTTACGAGCCAGCTTCAGATACCCCACCGCTAGTTGGCGCAGCGAACGTCACAGTGAACGCCACAACATCAGCCCAGCATCACGTGTCTCACTCGTTCACTTTATGATTTGACATACAAGTAATTTGAGTTACGAGCTACGTCACTGAACGAATTAAACTCATAAGTCAAGGCCCCACTGTACTGACATCCCGGCAGCTGTCAGGTGAGGGCCCTTGGCTGGGAGCAGGGAGAAAAAGTAGGGGGTGTTCAGAGCAGAACTACAAGGGGTTGCCTGCCCAGCGGCTGAGGTCACTGCGAGAAATAGTGATTGTATTGTACCCTTCTCTCCGTGCCAGTCTAATTTGCTCATCTCTTCAACCCCAGGGCCCACTGGTGTGTGTGTGTGTGTGTGTGTGTGTGTGTGTGTGTGTCTAAGATGAATTGGTGGATAGGAAGGTATTGGGATGGTTGGTAAGTGGATGGATGGATGGGTGGATGGATGAACAGGATGGAAGAAGGAAGAGAAGAAGGATACTGGGAGAAACAATTGGAAAAAAAGTCCCCTACCCCTTGAACCTGAGGCTGTGGGAGTTGGGGTAAAAGAAACCCCTTTCACAATTTGGAGACACTGTTGCCCCCCAACGATCATGCCTTGATATTGGCAGAGGTCCCTCAAAACAGAATCATTTTATTCAATAATTTGCTGTGCCTGCTACATGCCAGGTGCCAGCAGGGCTCCTGCAGCCTCAATGCTCTGTAGCTCCAGGGCCAGACTGCCAGGGTCCGAAGCCCAGTATTGTCCCTACTGGTGGTGTGGCCTTGGACATGAGTTTTTAATGTTCTTCATACAAACTTGTCCAAATGTGAGTTTTGGACATGAGAACTGAATGGGCACTAAACAAGTGCCAACACACAGCAGCCGCTGTCCTCTGTATTATGTGTGCGGTTCACCTTGCTGCCTCCCCCTCTACCTGCCCCCCATGTTCCAGGATATCCTCAGACTGTCAGCTCCCGCCCAATGGCCCTGTGGACGTGCGCAGCATGAGAGCCGCCCTGTGCACCGTGGGTATCCAGCTAAGCCCACAGGAGATGTGTGAGGCTGTGCAGCAGGCAGGCTTGGATGATAGGTGCCCCCATCTCTGCCCCCTCATTCTCTCCCACCTCTAACCCACAGAACCCCTGGCCTGCTCCTATTTTAAAGTTTCCTCTTCTAGGAAGCCTGCCCTGATCAACATGCCTATCCCACAGCTTCTACTGCTGTGTTAATCCTCATCCTCACTTGGTGCTTCCCCAGGGCAAGGGCTATTTCTCCTCCACTCAACCAGGGTTGACGGCGACAGGCAGGAGTGGCTTCTCTAATGCCTGGGACTTCCGGCCAGCCCCTAATGCTTACCCAGGGTAGGCCTGCAAGGACAGGCCCACAGAGCACCCCCTCCTGGCTCTTCCCAGGTGATGCAATTGTAGCTTCAACGACTTCCTGGGTATCTTCGCTGACAGGCACCCCCTAGCTCAGTGCTTGGGCGAGTGGCAGGGCTGGTGGACAAGATGGGCCTGGCTGAGGGGGGCTCCTCCTTACCCTCCCCGGTGTTCCCTGACGCCAGGCCAGGTGAGAAACAGCAGGGTCTGTGACGCCAAGGCCTGCAGGCCTGTTCCTAGAGATCCTGATCGAGCTGATGAGACAGGGCTTTTGCCCTACAAGTCAGTGCAGGAGGTGATGACGTGGGCACAGCTGTATCCAGCGGAGGAGACTCTGCCCCAGGGACGGGAGCCCTGAATTTGGGGCCTGTTTCCTGGGCCCCAACCCGCCCCAGGCCAGAGACAAGTGGCTTCCTGTCCAGTTTTGGTTTCCCCCGTGAGATGGAAGGAGGGGAGGCGGTGCCGGAGGCGCTGCTCCACTTTTCTCCTTCAAGCTGCTGCTCGGAGAAGCAGCGGGCTCTGCGGCTGAACCAGGCTGCAAGGGCAGGTCCTGCGGCCCAGGCTGCAGGGCGCGGTCACCAGGGCCTCCCCTTCTGCTGCCGGGCCCAGCGGCTCAGCGGCCTTCCCGGCTCCAAGCTGGCGTGCACTGCAGACTCACAGAGCGGGTGCGCCCCTTTGGGACCCAAGGGCAGAGGGACTCTCGCTCAGGACCTGCTCTCAGGACTGGCCCCTCCTTTTCCTCCTCCTGCTTCCCCACCCAGGTCCGCGCAGCCCCTCCTCTCAGACACCTGGCCCGAGTTCCTAAATCCGACTTCCCAAGCCCTGCCCCTCCAGCCACCCCAAGCTGGGGACTAACCAGGGGCCAAGCAGCCCAGGCAAAAGCCCGGGAAGGAGGGGGGCCGGCGGGCGGGACGGGAGAGTAGGGGCGGGGCAGGCAGGTGGGGTGCGACGAGCGGGGAGGGGAGGAGCAGGAGTCCTAGAAATGGGGGCTGGGCTGGCGCAGATGGAGGCCCCATAGGCTGAGGTGCAATCTGAGGGCACTCACGGACGCGGCTAAGGATGCCGCAGGGTCCCCAGCTAGGAACAGGACTGGTGGAACCCCTCGACACTGGGTCCCGACCCCGCAACTCTAGTGCCGAAGCCACCCTTTCCCTCCGCCAGCCAGCCGAGCGGTTGGCAGACACCTGCTGTGAAGGACTTGTACCAGCAAAGCGTTGGCTGCACGAGACAGCCTGCTGTGCGGTGGGGGGCACGGAGCGGACACAGACCTTTTGCAAACATCTTTATTAATCTTGTATAAAAATAAGGTCCGTGGAGAGTCCCCGGATGGGGGTGGGGGGGGCGCGAGGTTGCACTTTATAAGTTACCGGCCAGGCTCCCGCTGAGGCTAAGTACAGTATGGCTATTGGGGGGAGGAGGGCGCTGCGAGCAGCATTTGGGGGGCGGGGCCGGCGATACTGACGCCTGTAGCAAGATGAGAGTGCGCCTGCCCATCTGGGTGAGCCCCTGGCTGGGGCCAGCGGCAGAAGGGCTGCCCGGCCCAGCCGAGCTGAGGACCCCCTTCCTTGAGCCCCGTCTTGCCCCTCCCCCATCCCCAGAGTCCATCTGCGGAAATGGGGGCTACAGCGAGAGGTCCGAGGTGACCTGCAGGGGGGGTCCCGGGGGTCTCCGGCGGGCGCTGCGGCGGCCTGTGTCCGAGCGGATGTAGGGCTGGTTCCGCAGGTCTAGCAGAGAGGAGAGAGAAGCATTTACCCTTCAGGAGCCTGGCGGGGCACAGGCCTCACCCTCCTGGGGACCAGGTGGTATCCATGTGGGAAGGGGCCTGTCTATGTTTACCAGACCCCCTCCAACACATCCCAGCATGCGGGTCCCAGGAGAGGGCAGCAGCACTCATTCCCCCCCCAGGGCCCCCAGGGCTATGGGCAGCCTCAGGAATCGGAGGCCAGGCCGTGGGAGGTACCTGAGGGCTAGAGGGGGATCTCCTCGCCCAGGCTGGCCTCACAGAGGAGCCTGGATGTCCGCTTGCCAGTGCGGGCCGTGAAGGGCACCGTCTTGAGCACTGAGGGTTAGGCGGGAGGAGTGGGGAGAGAAAGGGAAAAGGAAAAAGACAGAAAAAGTAGCAAAGAGGCAGTGAGGCAGCCAGACCCCAGGGTGGGAGGTGGATGGAGGACAGCACAGAAGGACAGACGGAAGGACAGGCCTGGCCAAGCCCTCACCTGTGATGATGTCTTCAATGGCCCCATCGCGGTCACTCTCATAGATGAGTGGCTCCTTCTGCTGCTTCCGTTTCAGCTCAGAGATGAGGTCCATCTGTGGCCTCCGAACCTTGGGTGGGGACTGGGGGGAGGGGAAGGGTATGTAGCTCCAGCTCCAGGATCCCCTCCCCCCAACACCACCACACCCTGTTTGGTGCCCTCCTGCCCCCAGCAAGCCCCCACTGCTGGCTGGAGCAGAAGGAACCCCTTCCCATCCCAGGCTACTCACAGGGTGTGGAGGAGGGCCAGATCTTTGGGAGGAGGACACTACGCATCCCTGCATCCCAGGGCCACGCTCAGGGGCAGCCGCCTACCTTGAGTGCTGGGGAGTCCCCTTTGCCTGGAGTTTCAGCGCCGGCCTCCTGAGCAGCCGCTTCTTTCTTCCACTGTTCCACCTCCTGCTCAGCTTTCTGAGGGGCCAAGGTTGGTCTCCATGAGCTGAGGCCTCCCTCACCGATCCCGCCCCCCAACAGAAGCAGCCCCACCCCTCCCACTGCCCACACGGAAAGGCTGCAGAACCCGGCAGTGGTCCCAGCTTGCCTACCAGGAACACATACCTTGTAGGCCTTGACGAAGCGACTAAAGAGGGTAAAGAACATGGAGGGGGACGTGGTCTTGGGGTTTTCTCCGAAGTATTCCACCACAGAGTCGTAGGCCTCCTGCAGACACAGCCTGTCAGCCCCATCGGTGTGGACCCCTCGAAGCCGGACCACGGCTCTGTCCCCCCATTAAGACACCAGCGACTTCATCTCCGCTCCTCCCGGCAGGTGGCCCCTCACCCCTACTCCATCCCCCAAGGTGTCCACTCCCGTCCAAGCCTTGGCTACTCGACCCCACCTAGGTAGCCCTGCTTGCCCCACCCCACCCTCCCCATCTCCCCGCCTGGCCAGCCCCCGCCCACCTGAGCTGTCTTGCTGTCTGCCAGCAGCTTGTCCATGGTGGGGGAGTTGGCCCTCAGGAACTCCTTGAGCACCACGCAGTCATCCTGCCGCACAAACTCCCGCTGGGTCAACTCCAGGCCTCGCTGCAGGGCGCGCACGTCCCCCAGGATGCTGTCCAGGGACACTGGGGCGGGGGCAGTGGAGAGGCAGGGAATCAGAGAGGCAGCATTCCTGTCCGATGACACCCTGTGGTCGCCTTGTTTTCTCCCAACCCGTGTCAATCTCCAGGGCTGAGCCGCTCGCTCCCCCAACCCAAGGATGGGGGTACTGCCCACCCGTACCTGAGCCCGCCTTGTCCAGGAAGTGCAGGTCACTGTGGAAGCCTGTGAGCTGTGGGTACTTCTCGGCGATGACCTTCACCAGGTAGTGCAGCAGCGTCTGCTTTCGGTCGGTGGACTTCATCTCCAGCAGCTGCAATGGCCTGTTGTAAGCCACAGGCCACCAGCCCTCCCCCCTCTCCCAGTCCAGGGGACCCCTCCCCTCGCCCCTCACCGCATCCAGACTCTGGAGCCGGAAGCCATAGGCTGCTCCGCGCTTGCTGCTGTTCATGTAGTTGCCGAAGGCCAGGACGATCTAGGAGAGACGGAGAGCTCAGCAGGGTCATGAGCGGAGGAAACCCCTGAAGCATAAACTGCACAAGCAAAGGTGGCACAGAGCAAGCCCCACACTCAGCCCAGTCCCGCGTGGACCCCTCAGGGCCATGACACATGGACCTGCACGGGTACATGTTTGACACATGTGCACGGCTAACACCATGGCACACCCAATTTTGTCCTCTGTTATTTCCACCCAAAACTGTGCTGCCAACCTCTCTTCCTAGGCTGTGGAGTCACCACCTTTCTAACAGCCATTTCTACAGCTGCCCTGGACTCCATTGAGCAGATTGGGTTCTGCTCATCACACAGTAACACAGTAACCCCAGGCAGGGTCTGAGGTGTGATGCTGTATGGGAGCGGGGGGGGGGGGCAAAAGTAGGTTTACAGTTGTATCCACTTTTGAAAACAATAATTAATAAATAATAATACAAGAATAGCCCAGCTGGTGTGGCTCAGTGGTTGAGCATCGAACTATGAACCAGGAGGTCATGGTTCGATTCCTGCAAATGCTCAGGTTGCAGGCTCAATCCCCAGTAGGGGGCGTGCATGAGGCAGCCAATCAATGATTCTCTCTCATCAGTGATGTTTCTATCCCTCCCTCTCACTTCCTCTCTGAAATCAATCAAAACATATTTTAAGAATAAACTCTGAGAGTTTATTCTTTTGCCCATCCTGTGCATGGCCCTCACTCTCACCCTGAGCCTGTATTATGTGAGAGGTGGGAACATTATATTTGTTGCATCCTAGGTGTGCAGGGCAGGGCCTGAGTCTCCCTCTAATAAGACCTAGAACAGGCAAGGAGTCAAGGGTGGACCCTACCTCCCAGGCCCTTGCCCTGGCATCTTACTCACCTCCAGGATCTGGCGGAGTTTGTCAGACGACTTAATGGACATTGAGGCTGCAATGACGGCATTCAGTTGCTGGGGATGGGAAGGAGGAGGCAAGGTAAATTGGGGCTGGGGGGGGGGGGAGCCCACAGGAGGCTCAAGTACTCCCAAATGTCCTCCTGGAGCCCAGGCTTGGGGAGGCCCTCACCCTATCCTCACCCCAGGCCACACCCACACCACTCTGCCTGCCCCGCCCACACCGGCATGAGCAGCTGGACGGTATCCGGGAAGTTGCCCATGAAGGTTAGCGCGGCCATGCGCTCCTGCAGGCGCGGGATGCGGCTGAAGCGCAGCATGAACTGGTCCTCCTCTGACAGCTCCTCCATCGGCCGCTGCTCCCGCTCGAAGCGGGCGATGAGGGTGCGCTCATACTCCGTGGGCAGGAAGCGGGTCAGCAGCTCCAGGAAGTCCAGGCTAAGGGCCTGGAGGTCGTACCTGGAGGCAGAGGGGTAGGCATTGCTCCATACCCACCAGTTCTCGAGAGCAGGATATCCCCTCCCCTTCCTTGATTGAGTAAATGAACTTCAGTATTTCCTATTTGCCAACAGCTTCAGGGAACAAGAGGTAGAAGTCAAGGGAAGTTGGCAGCTGGAAAGCCCGGGGTCCGCATCATACATCTGTGGCAGATGTCCAGCTGTAAGTGCCTGAGCCTGAGTGCCCATAGCTGGGCAAGGAGGCGGAGGGGGTGGGGGGAGAAGTGGGGGGAATGGGAACATCTCAATCTGGCATGAACTCACAGTATGGCCTCAGTTTCTCCATCTGAAAATGGGAACAAGGTTCACCCCCTACTGCCTGACTAGGGTTGATAGGAAGCTTGGTGGGCTCTATCCCATAGTTGGGGTTCTTTTACTAGGATCTGCCTAAGCACTGGCCTGGCAGAAGGGCTGGGATGCCCACAAGCCCCAGGCAGAGGTACTCACGTCTCGATGGCCTGGCAGATGCGGTCCGCTCCCAGGTTGCCCTTGCGCAGGGTGATGGCCAGGTTCTTGGCCCGGTTGGCCTCAATGAGTGTGGCTTTGCTGGGGGCCTTCTGGGCTGCCTTACCCTTGAGAGCATTGAGGTCCAGGCTGGGACCTTGGGACTTGGTCTTGAACTGCTCCTCAAAGTCACTCATGTCCAGTTCCTGAGGGCACAGGGAGAGGAGGTGGGGCTGGGTGGGCCGGGGTCTCGTGCATTCCTGGCTGAGCACCGTGCTCATTGCTTGAGCCCCTATCCAGCCCTGACCTGGCCACTGGCAGAGAAAGAAACAAGCCAGTGATTCAGCTTGACCACAGGCCCTGATGGGGGACACAGGGGAAGCTCAGGAGCACTGAGGAGAAGGAGGAGGAGCAGTACCCAACCCAGGGGACCCAGACTCCAAGAAGTTAGAGATGGAGGAAGAGCTGAATTGGCCAGGGGGGAAGGGGGACAGGAAGGGCATTCCAGGCACGAGGAACAGCTTGCGCAATGGCCTGGAGGCCAGAGAACACAAGCCTTTGGAAAAACTGGAAGTGGGCCTGGCCGGCATGGCTCAGTGGTTGAGCGTCAACCTATGAACCAGGAGGTTGCATGTTCGATTCCCAATCAGCACACATGCCCGATTGTGGTTGTGGGCTTGATCCCCAGTAGGGGGCGTGCAGGAGGCAGCCTATTAATGATTCTCTCTCATCATTGATGTTTCCATCTCTCTCACCCTCGCCCTTCCTCTCTGAAATCAATAAAAATATTTTTTAAAAAAACAAACAAAAACCAACACTGAAAGTGGATTGGAAGGACTGAAGCCCTGGTTGTTTGTGGGAAGGTGGTGGAGAGGGGTCTCAAAAGAGGGGGAGAGGCCAGACTGGGGGGCGGGCTGTGCCCTTCTTCAGGGACGGGAGGGAACGCCTCCCGGGGAGTAAGGATGCCCTGCCTACTAGAGTCACCAACCCAGTTTGGCCGAATGCCCATCCCTGGGCCTCCACGTCCTCATCTGTAAAATGGGGTGGAGGTGACCACTCCTCGTGCCCAGCATGATCCAGGCAAGTCCCTTCCTTCTCTGGTGCCCACACCGGCAGCCAGCGAGGCCACACTCACCTGCAGCACCTTCTCATCATTGAGCTCAGTGAAGACAGTACCCGTGATCTGGCTGGGTTTCAGGGCTACCCAGTTTAAGAGGGGCATTCTGAACTTGGTCTGGATGGGTTTCTTGGCCTTCACTCCTGGGACAGGGAGGGAATGGTGAGTACTGGGGGCCATGGAGGGCGGGGTGGCTGGAGGGAGCCAGGGTTCAGCGAGGCCTGACAGGGCGGGCAGGAGGTAGTAGGAGAGGCGCTTGGAGGACACCGAGGCCAAGGCCCCACCCTCCAGCTGCCCCAGCCCTGGGTGGTCCACTTACCTGGGCCCATCTCTGGGCCCGGCTCCCCAAGGGCACCAGGGAGACCTCCGGGAGGCGGCGGGGGTGGCGGAGGCACCAGCCCATCTGGGCCAGGAGGCGGTGGCGGCGGCGGCGGCGGCGGGGGCGGTAGGACTCCGGGCAGCGGGGGAGGCGGGGGCGGGGGCTCCCCGCTGCCGGGAGGGCGGGGCCAGGGGGGGCTCCGCGAGCGGGGCTTCCTGCTGGGAGGGAGGCCGGGCAGCGGGGC